TGCATCGATTTTCGGCCATAACATTTATGCTATTAGTCGGATCGTATCACGTGTGGTCTCATTTTGTAGGTCTCTTAAATACTTATAAATCTTATATGAAAAGATTTATCGTTCCTGTCAACAATTTCGATTGAATCCCAAAAAATACGTTTTTCTTTGTTGTCTAATAAAAAGTTTTCCCACAAAAATTGGTGTACCAGTTTTATGCGTCCATGTTTTAAATACCACCTTAAACAATTTTTACCAATAAAAACAGACTTTATAATTGTTTCGGGGAAATTTGCTAATATGATTAGACTATTTAGGAGAAACTTATTGCTATTGAAAAACGCTATTTCAGAATCAACTTCTGATTAGCAGTCAAGTTGCAGTTAACTTACGATTGTAAAATCGGGCATACGGGAGTCAGGCATTAAAAAAAAACTATGTCGACTATAGGCACAAAGTATAAACTAGATGATAATAATACTATAAAGAATAGTTTTGTAATAAAATCCTTGAAATATTCTGACTGATCACATTTTTTATTTATATACATATAATTGACATAATATTGTAAATTAAACTAAAAATAATATATTTTGTAACAAAGATCATCAGTTTTCTCACTAAGATCATAATAAAAAGAAATTATTACCGACCATCATATATATATATATATAAACTTGAGACGTGGTCATTGTCGTCTAGACCAGTTAGATGAAAAATTAAAGCTTCCGCCTTTTGTTGGGTACTTCGTCAAAATTTAAGAAAAGAGGACTCTTTATACTTTTTTAATTCTCTCTAGCTTTCAATGGACTTTGCCATCAGCATTTTGTGCAATCATCAAGTGGCTTCACGATGTAATGCTCTAATGTTTTTAAATAATTTTTAATCTGTTTTTAACTTGTTCTTGTCATATTTTATATAATTTTGACCATTGTACCATCTATCCAGCTCTCACCATGTTACTGGACGTTTCCCTCATCATATACGTAAACAACAATTAGCAACATCCTCACATACTACTCTCCTGATGATGATGGCAAAGTCCATTGAAAGCTAGAGAGAATTAAAAAAGTATAAAGAGTCCTCTTTGCTTAAATTTTGTCGAAGTACCCAACAAAAGGCGGAAGCTTTAATTTTTCACCTATATATATATATATATATATATACACGCACACACAAATTATATATATATATATATATATAATTAAAGTTCATATCTTAAATATAACATCAAAATTCCAATGAAAGATCACCCTTCACTCCGGATATCTTCTGGTGGAATATGGTAATGAATGATTTTATTTAGATGGCCAAATCAAAAGCCATAGAGGAGCTTTTTGAAAATTTTATTCCTTATTTGTAGACAGGTACGACTTTTAAAGCGCGGATATGTTACAATTACTATTACTGTAATGCTCAGAAGGTTTTCCAACGCTAAACCATTCCATATTTCACTAAATACCTTATAGAAAACTTAAATGGCAATAAAAATGATGTAATTCATTGTAATGTTGAGACCAGCGATGGGTATAGTTAGCTGCTAATGTTTATTTTCAACTGCATTTTTTAGAAATAATGTGGTTAAAACACATCTTGAATTAATCAATAAAATAATTACGGTATAAAATATTTTTGATATCTAACAGTTATACATCATATGCATTCCACCATTCCTAATCCTATCGGTTAACAACAATAAAATTACATTTATTAGCTTTTTCTCGATCATTCCTCTCAGATGTAAAACCTCTTCTATCGTTTATTTTATCTTACAACTGGTATCTTCTATCTGAAGATAGCCAACATGCTGCTTGATTCCCGCGGCCTAAAAATTATCCGAGATGAAATGAGATATCATAGCGTCATCTATGAGAACTTGTCACAGATATGTTTCTCCTTTCCACATTAATTAGAAATCTACTTTGAAAAGGTTATTGTCTCATAGATATCATAGCGTCATCTATGAGAACTTGTCACAGATATGTTTCTCCTTTCCACATTAATTAGAAATCTACTTTGAAAAGGTTATTGTCTCATAGATAGCGCTATATCTACCTATATTTGGAGATTGGCTACAGCGCCATCTATACGCCACTAATCTTTTCAAAGTAGATTTCTAATTAGTGCAGAGAAGAGAAAGATAGCTGTGGCAAGTTCTCATAGATGACGCCACAGTATCTCATTTCATCTTGGATAATTTTTTGGATACAAGAATACAGTATTAGGTTGGCTATATTCAAGTAGAATACGTCAACCGATGCTGGTATGGTACTATTGTCGGCATCTCTTGTAAGCTCCCATCTTAATACCCATCAGTTAAAAAAGCGTATACAGTTATGGTCAATACCTTTCTACTATCCTTGTAGCAATAGATTCCAACTATCGCTTGCTTATAAAAAGTATGTAAACATAAAAATCAACGTTTATCTTTTACGATATTCTATATATAAAAAAAACTCCATATATCCAGTGGTAGGTTTCACCTATTGCTTTTTTCAAGGCACTTATTTATCATCTTTAAAAGTTCTTGATATAAAAAGCAGTCCCTGCCAGCAGGTTTGCAGATCTCTCTGTGGTCCAGTGGAACATCGCATTTGGTGCCTATATTTGGATCTGAAACGAAAAATTTTGCTACATAATGTATAATATCGATTATACACATTCTAATATTGTCTGTGCTAACACTTATTAACGTATTATAACAGATGACATGAAATACAGCAGCATCATGTATGAAAATTTGTCACAGGTATGTCTGTTTTCTCCACACCACTCAGGAATCTACTTTGAAAAGGTTAGTACCTGACGGATGGCGCTGTAGCCAACTATGTAGCAGGGTGTGGCGTAAAGAGTGGATAACCTTTAACCTGCAGTTAGAGGACATCATAACGATTAAAAAAATTGAAAATTGTGTCTCGTGAAAGTTGCACGGTTTTCAATTTTTGTGACGTTTTTCAAATTTGGAGGAAATGGGCAACTTCATTCGCTGTTGTAAGTCTCGTGATAACACATGAAGGGTTTTTCTCATTCTTTTTTCAACATAGTATTATTGGATACATATGTCATAAAATATAAACTGCCATTTTCGTGATACAGGTTTAATTCCTTTTTTACAAAATCATTAAAACTAGGAAAAAAATGTTTTTTTTTCTCCTAAGCTTGACCACGTGTGGTGTCAATAATATTGCGGTAGGTAACCTAGTGAAACAAGACGTGAATAATTTGCCTAATTCATTGATATTGCAAAATGATTCAATACACCGTATTTCCTGCTGTCAATTCAAAGATACTCCTATTAAGGTTAGCTAAGACTCCGTGTTGGAGGAGATTGCCGCTGATCCAACAACGTCAGTGTGAGTCATATCGCATAAAACGTACAAGAGTATTTCAACGAAATATATCCCCGGGGGTGGATCGGATGCTTGGGAGCAATTTTGTGTCCACCAAAGACACCAGACCTCAACCCTATCGACGTTTTTTACTGGGTGGTGTCTTAAGGAGAAGGTCTACGAGAAACCCATTACTTCAGTGGAAGAGCTACGTGCGCGGATACAAACTGCTGCAAGAGAAATCAGCGAAGCCGGATACACGCGCAAAATCAAACAGTAATTTATAAGAAGATGCAGGGCCTGTATCAGAGCTCGTTTTGGCCATGTTGAGCACTTAGTGTAACTTCTAATAATATGTTTATATCTAGCGAGTTTCTGTTCTTTTTTCTTATTTTAACGAATTATGACACCATAAAGCATCTTGTGTTAAATTCTTATCCATCTGGTAGATTTAAACTGCAACATTACTAATACGTTTTGTAAACGATCTAATAAATTTGTTATGCCTCAATATTCTGTGCTAAATCAACAACAACAATGAACTAGAGTTAAACTGTTCTTTGGAAAAGTAGGCGACTCAGTTATCTCAATGGACTAATTAGGCAAATTATTCACGTTTTGTTTCACTAGATTACTGCAATATTATTGACACCACACATGGTCAAACTTGAGAGAAAAGAAATAATTTGTTTCCGAGTTTTAATGATTTTTTTAAAAAGCAATTTATCCTGTAGCACGAAAATGGCAATTTATATTTTACATGTATCCAAGAACAGTATGTTGGAAAAAGAATGACAAAAACCCTTCATGTGTTATCACAAGACGAATAGTGAGTGAAGGTGCCCATTTCCTCGAAACTTGAAAAACCTCACAAAAATTGAAAACCGTGCAACTTTTACTAGACACAATTTTTGGAATCGTTATGATGTCCTCTAACTACAGGTTAAAGGTTATTCACTCTCTACGCCGCACCTTGTGTATGGCTTCAGCGCCGTCTATGAAACACTAAAGCGCCCAACAAACAATTAGCGCTCCTATTAGAGTTGCAAGAATGATTATACAGTATTCCTTGGGTATAATCATGGCATCGTCCATGTTGTCTTTAGGTTATTAGAATATTTTGGTGTTGCCTGCAGGTGTTATACAACAATTTGACAAATGTCTGAAATGAAATACCTACAGAGTCGAATGATTTACCCAGAATTTGTACCAGACCTATCTCTTCTGTTTGAACAGTTGATAAAACCTTTTAAACCAATATGCATGCGTTGTTTGTCGTAAAACATTGGTTATGGCATTTTAACAAAAATATGACAGCAGAAAGTTAGGTTATGGTGAAGTTGTATACCAACATATTTAGCATATGTACAGCCTTTAACAGTTACTAAACAACAGTTGTATAAGTGCTTCCGTTGGGAGCAATTTGTTGGCTAAAGTAGTAAATTGCACAGCAAAACAACAAGGCTCGGGTTTGTTTTATAAACGTTACCATGGATGCCACAACACAACCATTTTGACTAACGTGCAAATATGCCGTATAAAATAGTTGTATAAACGTTTATGCAACAGTTAAAAATTTGCCCTATAAGGTGTTGTATAACTATGCTATAAGAATATTTTAAACACTCATTTTAGAGCAAATATGTTGCAGAAAGCAAATTTGCATTCCACACAACATTAAGCCAGCATTTTGGTGTTCAGGCAACAACAATAGAAAGCTTTTATGGCTGAACGGTTCTTTTACCAAAAGCTTATACCACTACTTTGCTAGTTGGGCGCCATCTATGAGACACTAAAGAGTCTACTAGACACTAACCTTTTAAAAGTAGATTTCTAATTAGTTCGGAGAGGAGAAACATAGCTGTGACAAATTCTCATAGATGGCGCTATGGTATCTCATTTCATCTCGGATAATTTTTTGAATGTAGGAATATTGTATTAGGTTGTATTAGGTAACTTAGCATAGGGTTGTCCTATGGCTAAAGAGATGTTTTTATAAAAAGTTATGGGAAAATATCGTATGGTAGATTAAAAACGTTTCGAAAACAAGACTCTTCTATCATATACTTTATGGATGCGCTTACCTGCAGAATCATATGGCACAATCTTCAAATAAATAAATGACATCAATGTGAATGATGTCTCAATGAAACTGAATACATCTGGATTCAAATTTGATTCTTGGATAACATTTAGGAATTGCTGGTGTAGATCTAATACAAAATCGCAATCTGAAAAACATTTTGGCTGTTAGAAAAAACAGCTACAAAGTGGATGTCCGTAGTCAGTAGCGGACAAAAGTTCGGAAACAAATATTAACATTATTATGAACTATTTCATATACCTAAATTAAAATTGTGAAGGAATAGATAATATAAATATTAAAGTCTACCTTTGGCTCCAGTACTAATACAAGGTTTATCTTATCTATATTAGAATTCTCTGAAAATAAAATTACGCGTTTTTCTAAATACCACAGATTTTGTAACGACAAAAGTAGGGAAACATTTCAGTTTAAGAGACAAAGTAATTGAATTATTTAGAAGTGGTGTCAAAAATGTTGACATTTCTCGAAGATTAAAAATGAACAAAGGGAAGGTTTCGAAAGTATGAGCAAATATGAAGAATACGGATCATCAGCAACGCGGCCCAGGTGTGACCGAAATAACCGATTGTTTTGGATCGCTATTAAACGTTTGTTCCATGAAGATCCTTGAATGCCAGCAACACAGATTTTCAAAAGAATCGTAGAAGAGGGTGCCGAGAATCTTTCTGTCAGAATAGTAAAGAGACGCTAGGTGGATTTTGGGCTTTTTGGTAGCGTCCAGCGCAAAAGCCTTTCATTTAAAAAAATCGTATTGAATTTGCTAAAAGTCATCTAACTTGGACAGAGCAACAATGGAATACAGTTTTATGGAGCGATGAAAGCAAATTTAACTTGTTTGAATCTGACGGTACGGCACATGTGAGACGTCCAATACGAATTCGAGAAAAATTATCAGTTGCCAACCAACAGTTAAGCACGGTAGAGCCCACATCCTGGTTTTGGCTGTTTTTCTAGTTCTGGAAGGGTCCAATTGTTAGCATTGTTGGGGAAATGGAGCAAAGACTTTACAAAGATATTCTTAGTAAACACATACTCCCTTTTGCTGAAGAAGAAATGCCTTTACGATGGACATTCCAGCAAGATAATGACCAAGCATACCTCAAAATTTGTAAAGGACTGGTTAAAACAAAAAAATGTCAATGTTCTTACATGGTCTTCGCAATGCCCGGACCTAAACCCTATAGTACATTTCTAGGAGCATGTTAAAACACAACTGACAAGAAAAACTTTTAAAAATAGGAACGATTTATTTGATTATGTAAAAAATATTTGGCAAAATATCCCAACAGACGTATAGTAAAAAAATGGTATCTTCTATGAGCAGCAAATGTCAGGCAGTGTTGAATACTAAAGGCTATGCTGCCAAATATTAGCTAAACAGTATTTTTTAAATCTTTTGTAGAGGTATTGTATTTAATTTTGTAATAAAAAATATGTTTCTCATTTGGACGGCTTTTTGCAGAAAGGAACCAACCCATTAAATACGAAAAATCTAGATTTTAGGAAAATAATCTATTACGAGAGTATAACTTATAAATTGTTTAGTATTATATCATATACACACATTTAAAGTCGTTCGTATGCCATTAATTAGAATCTTTTTTGGTCTAAAATGATTTTTTTATCATTGTGAAAACTTTTATGCCTAATTGCTCAATAATTGTTTTTCTGGGTTGGTTCCTTTCTGCAAAAAGCCGTCCATTTTTGGTCATGAAATAATATGAAGGTATTTTAATGCTAGTCTGTAGGACCTCAGCAAACACAAATTGTCATCTGTATCCTCAAGACGATAAGTAAGCTATATGAGAAAAAATAGTCCGTAATAATAAAGAATAAAAAATTAGCGCACTTTTTAAGAAATAACTAAGAATGTTTCCAAACTTTTGTCCACTATTATATATGGAATGTAGGTGAAATATAAAAATTTCGAACCCAGTAAATAGGCACAACTTTTTTATTATGTTATAGTCAAATCTTCCGGAAATAACTAAATATTATTAGTGAACCATCAATCTTTAATTTCATGCAATGTGCAGTTGGCTTTGCAATTTTCAAAAGATGTTCATTCCTGTCTGAGTAATACGAATATCATATATGCAATACTTACTCCTTTGTATCTCCAACAATTCAATACTTCTTCTCAGAAAAGGTACTGTTATGTCAGCAAGGGATGAGCCTTTATGTGGCACACTATACCACATTATTGACTTGCTTTGCTTAAACAGATCTTCTACCTCTGGCCTATGTCTGTTCCTTTTCCATGCTAAAAGGTATAACGCTATATACACACCCATTTCGTATTTACTGTACTTTCATTGTTTGTATGAGCTTCAACCGTTAAATTTGTTGATAAATATTGATCAATACTTTTAATTTGGATCTCTTCATTCTTGAATAGTTTTTCATGATGGTAACAATTACTCAGGTCTGCCAAAAAAGTGGTGTGATCTGGGGGGTCACACTATATTTTTTTAGCAAGGATTCTTTTGCTGAACATGAATCTGAAGTCAGAATTGGGGGTCGATGGATCAATGTTAGAATAAACCCAAAAACACGATTAAAGTCTTAATCTATAGTTCATTTATCGAAGAAAGAAACTAAACATATTCACGTGATCGGACTCCAGAACGTTGGCAGCCGGCGAGTCTGCATGTACCGCCGTGTCGTCTCACACTCCACATGTATGACCAATGGCAAAACAGGAAGGGTAGCCTCGACCAATTCTGCTCAATAACTTATCCTCGTCATTTTTTGAAATATATCAACGTGCTGATCACGCACTAAACACGCGCTGGTTTGTTTTGGTTTTATGTGTTTCTTGGGTAGACAGACTATGGCGATTGTTTTATATGATAATATACGTATATTACATATGTATATAGTTCGTGGTGTCCGACTACGTAGTCACTAGCCCGTATCGTCAGTCATCCCTACAATTGTAGGGCGCCTTTACGGCCTCCTCCTATTTTGAGGTTATGTGACAAACATCTATTTGCATCAAATTGTGCTTGATTTTGAGTTGTATCATGTTTTATCAGCCAGAAATTTCCTACAATTTAAAAAGAAAACATATCTTCACAATAGGAGAGCGCTGACGCTGACACGGGACAAGTGTAATCTAGACATTTTTGAAGGAGAGAAAGAAGTATGACAATCAAGGAGGCCATAAACGCGCCCTACAATTGTAGGGACGACTGACGATACGGGCCTAAAAGCACTAGATCATGGGTTTTATCGATTTTAAGAGTTCTCTCTGAAATTTTACCATTGAAACTTAATTCTGACTCCAGATCTGTGTCCAGCAAAAAAAATACATAGGAAAAATATAGACCTGTCTAACGTAAGCAAATTGGAAATAATTGCATTTTATGCATTTTTTATCCAGGCGTGATCAAAGGTGTATGGATGCGGTGTTCGGGCACTCGCTGCCTCTTCAGAATAAAACAAACAGTGAATGTGCATGTGTGTTGTGAATCTAATGTACCTTCACCAAAATCTATAACCTTGATGTCGAGGTTACTTTCATATTTGTCCATCGACCCACTATTCTGATTTCGTGCGGGCCCTCAGCACATGCCACATTTTTGAGGACATTTGTTATGAAGTTTAATGCGGCGACCATGATGTCTTACTGTTCGTTATTAAAACGTTGGGCCTATAGCAACCGCCCTAACAGCGTTGCACCTTACTTTCAGCGCTATTACCATGCTATAACATGTGTATTTCATCTAAATGTAACATGTTGGCTAGTCTACAAACATAAACATTTCGATTCAAACTTACCATTCACTAGTATCTGTTTGATATAAAGTCCTCCTTTGGAATGTCCAACCCAGACGATTGGTTTCTTTCCTACCCCTAACTCCACCAGCCCATCTATCATTTCTTGACTTCGTGTCACCATATCAGTCCTGTTTCTTCTTTTTGCCCACATGGGGCACCATAATATATCCGTGGTATAGTTCAATGCTAACACCCTGACATTGGGGCAGTCCTGAGGAATCCAATCTTTAGGCCAACAATACGAATAGTCTTTTTCTTTCTCTACTTCATCATCGGTGTCTTTTTCCCATTCTGATGACAAGGGCACTATACAAAGTTCACTATTTTTCCGAGCCTTCTTATTCGGCAATTTTGAATAAATGCCTGTTATGGTTCGTTTTAGGCTTTGCTGTCTGGGCGGAACGTACAGGTTGCCTGTTGAAAGCCTTCTTACTGGAGTTTGGTGCTTCAGTTTGTGCCAGTCTTGTCTCCATGTGCCTTGTTTCCAAGTTCTGAAAAGATATAGAATGTTATACCGTTTGTACACTAAAGCTGCCAGTCCTGAACGAATCGTTCCAAAAGGTTTTGTGCCGATAACCAGCTTTTATTTGAATATAGAAAGTTCCTGTTTGCATAATTTTGTAGAATGAACTCCCATCTAGACGAGACATTTCACAGCCGCGCAGGCAGAAGCTTAAATACCAGGGCACCGCGGCTGCTATGAGGATCCCAAAGGAACTTTGTTAATCCGATTTTTGAACTGCCTAAGGTTGGTAGATTGGGAAAAGCCACCTCTTGTAGATTGTTCCACAATCTCGACACCCTAGGGACAAAGAATCGGCCGTATCGGCCATTTTTTTTGGATTTATACTAAGTGACATATAAATCCGAACACCCAGTTTAAATGGTTTTATTTTAATAAAAGTTGGTGAATGTATTTATCTTACTGTAAATAACAAGTGAAAAAATTTTCAGCCTTATCAGTTGGACATTCCGGTTTTTATAATGCTTTTTTTTAATTCACTAACGCTCTAAAAATGAATATTTCAGCCGCAGTAAAGAATCAACGTTGGCGGATTTTGGTTCTTGACATCCTGTGGTTAGGTGTTGTCAGGCATGGCTTCGAGAAGGCCGTACGCAAAGAGCAAGGGGCACTGGACGCCGCCGTAGAACAACAGACCGTGAAGATCGCCGCCTAAGATTATTGGCCTTAAGGGACCGTTTCTCCACTACCAGGTCCATTGCAAATGAATGGTTTGCAGAACACGGAAGACCTATTGGCATGCGAAGTGTTTACCGACGAATGAGAAGTTTTGGCTTGTTTTCATACCGGCCACACTGGGTCCTCCCTTTAACTCGAGAACACCGACGTAATCGCCTTGAGTGGTGCAGACAACGGTCACTCTGGGATCAGGAATGGAACAGTATTGTCTTTAGTGACGAGTCTCGATTTTGTTTAGGCATGCACGATGGTCGTGCCAGGGTTAGAAGGCGACGTGGTGAAAGGAGGAATCCACAGTTTTTTGTTGAAAGACATGTTCATCACACTGTTGGAGTTATGGTTTGGGGTGCTATAGCTTATGGTTCCAGGTCACCTTTAATCTTCATCAGAGGTAACATGAACGCGCAGCGTTATATCCACGAAGTTCTAGAACCCCATCTTTTACCCTATCTTGACACCCTGGCAGATCCAACTTTCCAACAAGATAATGTCCGACCACATGTTGCACGAAGTCACAATAGACTTCTTTCAACATAATGATGTCGCATTGTTACCATGGCCACCAAGATCTCCCGACTTGTCCCCAATTGAGCACGTGTGGGATATGATGGGTAGGGGATTGCTCAATTTACAACGTCCTCCTCAGACTCTAGAAGCACTTCGAGAGGAGTTGGTGGTTGCCTGGAATGAGATACAACAGGAGGACAGTGAGCACCTGATCAGAAGCATGCTAGGCGCGTTGGAGAATGCGTAGCACATCAGGGTGCATCCACACATTATTAAAGGTCAAAGGGCTTTAAAGCAGTGCAATCATTTTGAAATTTTTATCATTTACTTATTATGCTTCATTAAGTACTTATACAAAATTTTATTAAAATAAAACCAACTGGGTGTTCGGATTTATATGTCACTTAGTATATGAAGTTTGACACGGTTAGGATGGGAGGCGGAAGTCAGTCTGTCTGACAGGCACATCTCGTGGCGACACCGTGAAGGTAAGCTCTGAGGAGCAAAGCCCATTGGTGTAGCAGTAGAAGAGAGTTAAATCGCCAACGGCTCGCCGATGCGAAAGGGTCCCGAGACTATTAGAGAAGAGTCAACGATCAGTCGGACAGCCCTCCAGCTTCGAGCATGGATAATGTAGTCAGGGCGGCAGTACCTGAAACATGAGATGTTTTCGTGCCAGATCGTCCTCGGTTCCGAACACCCGACATGAATGGCGCTTAGACAGAAATTTGCCATCCATCGAAACCGGATGAGCACTATGACGCTATTTGTTCGTCAAGGTACGCAGAGAAGCTAATTCGGGATGCCTCCTAAACTAAATGACAAAATGTGCTAAACTCATCGCACATAAAGTTACTGCTGTATCTCTTGCCATTTTTAATCGAAAAATGTGTAGTTGTCCGTCCGTGACGCGTGGAATTCCTCTGCAGCGACTCCAAAAGGGGAAAGTAAATGATTATTTGGCATGGAGTAATGAAGTTCGGAGTGGAGAATTTATGCTTAGTTGCTATTTACACTTTCAATACTATATTTTTAATGAGGAAGTATTATACCACGTAAATACTCGGTGGCGGCCTTATCAGGCTAAGGGGGCCTAGCAAGGAAGTTATAAAAATATACTATTTTTTAACCATTGGACAACCCTAAATTGAATCCAGAGCAGCTAACTATACCGCGTGCAATACTCGGGGAATTCCCGAGACAAATCGTTGTTTTTGGAGTTTTGTAGAGCTAAATCTGTTAATAGTTAATTGTGTGATTCTTTACGATAACTTAATTCAAAAGAGACATTTTTGTGAGTACTGCCTACATTCAGTTTTCTATTTTGCGCACTACCCAATATTTACTTCATCCACTATTCAAACTACAATTCCAAAACTAACCAAATATACAGCAAAATCACAACCAGAAACCACAAAACAACAAACAATGTTTAATGTTCTGTGAAAATGTCAAAGCAAAAATGGCAGATGAGAAATAAGTGCTCTTGGATCAAACACATCTATATTGAATAGAGGGTCGTGACTATGATATGCTTTGTTTTTAAAACTCTAGTGCCATATCGTCAGTCGTTTCTACAATAATTGTAGGGCGCCTTTATGGCTTTCTTGATTTTCATAGTCTTTTCTCTACTTCAGAAAGGCTGGGGTATTTCTAGATCTCTACTGTTCCGTGTCAGCGTCAGCCCAAATAGATATTTGTAACATGACCTCAAAATGGAGCGCTGACACGGAACAGTAGAAAACGATGAAAATCAAGGAGGCTATAAAGACGTCCTACAATACTTGTAGGAATGACTGGCGATACGACTCTTGGTTAGTTCAGCTACTATTGAGACAAGCTTCTCAAAACGAAAGTTGTATATGACCTACTTGAAAACCTCGATGAGCCAAGAGAGACTATCTGCTCTGTCAATCAAATGCAGTTGAAATAGCAGCTGTGTTAGTTATGAAACAATTCAATGAATCTAAAAGCCGAAAAGTTCGTTTATTTTAATTTGTGTTTGTTTATTTAATTTTCAATTCAATTCAGTTTTTTTTATTTTATTGAGGAATAGAAGAGACCTCGTAAAGCCGACGTCGACGTCCACATATGGTCTATCACCGCCACACCAAATACTACTCATATGAATGCAAAATTTTATAACATGTAATATGTTATTTTTTTGTTATTTTGATATAATCAAAAGCTTCTAAAAATGTTCGCGTAAATACACAATATTAAACTGTACAGAGAGACAGAAACAGTTCTTGCCTCTCTCTGTTAAATATTTCTCAATCAAAAATAATTATCTGTAATTACGGTATGCAGATTTATGATTTAGTTTATCACTATAAATGTTTATTCACTTTTACTACGCTCGAAATTTACTTTGCGCTCACAGCAAATGCAAAATGTAATCGTGCAACGTAAATAAGGATTTTTTAGTGGATATAGTGCAAAATGTTTGTAAAATTAGAGTGAAATCAAGTCGCCTGATACCAAACCCTTCCAAATCCATTTTTGACCAAATTGAGATAGCGGTGCCATCTGATCGCAGATCATGTTTTAAACGTTTCAAAACCTGCTAAACCACCTTCATACCCGTTGTTTTTTTCTCAGCTTGGGTTTAAAATCCCCCAATTTCATAAATGAGTGAAGTCCAAAAACTTCTAAATCCATTTAGTAACAAAACCGGCTAAATCCATAATAGTTGAATATATATTTATATATGTAATATTTATAGTTAATTGTCTTAACTGTTAAGAGAAAATATCCTTGAATTTCTTTGGGTAGAAGGCAAAGTATTACAAAAGTGCAATCTTATAACTTAAACTTGAACTTTCGAAGATCTATGTCTTCATCGACTGGAGCTGGAAACAATTATTGATAATAGCAACAATTAATAATTAGGAGGAAAAATAGTTACTTACTAAGTCGGCGAGATTGTTGATGAAATTGTTTTTAAACAACAGTGGAGGGAACACATAGTCGACGATAAAAAACTGGACTGATGAGGTTCGATTAGGACGGAATTATTTTATTATTAAAATCAAAATGATTTGCCAAATAATTCCGTCCTAATCGAACCTCATCAGTCCAGTTTTTTATCGTCGACTATTGTTCCCTTCACTGTTGTTTAAAAACTTAGTAAGTAACTATTTTTCCTCCTAATTGTTAATTGTTGCTATTGTCAATAATTGTTTCCACCTCCAGACGATGAAGACATAGATCTTCGAAAGCTCGAGTTTAAGTTATAAGAATGTACTTTTGCAATACTTTGCCTTCTACCCAAAGAAATTCAAGGATGTTATATATATATATATATATATATATATATATATATATAGGTGAAAAATTAAAGCTTCTGCCTTTTGTTGGGTACTTCGACAAAATTTAAGCAAAGAGGACTTTATACTTTTTTTAATTCTCTCTAGCCTTCAATGGACTTTGCCATCATCATCAGGAGCTGCAATTACAATGATAACAGTAGCAACAAACGTGTAAAATGAATTTAAATTGAATCAACTTACAGTAGTATGTGAGGATGTTGCTAATTGTTGTTTTCGTATAGGATGAGGGAAACGTCCAGTAACATGGTGAGAGCTGGATACATGGTACAATGGTTAAAATTATATAAAATATGACAAGACAAGTTAAAGACAGATTAAAAATTATTTAGAAAACATTAAAGCATTACGTCGTGAAGCCACTTGATGATTGCACAAAATGGTGGTCATGGAATAATTAGTGAGATGAACCTTTGACAGAAGGCCGAAGGTTGTCAATGTCTGTGTTGAAAGA